ACTTCCATTATAACATTACATTACAACCAAACACTCAAATATTAGTACCGATGCATCGAGTCTTCAATGATGTCTTGAAGTCTTATTAGTATTATTATCAAACACGAGAAAATTACTTTGTTAAGTATTTTTATGAAAAAACCATAGGAGCTCATTTAACAAAATATGTAAAGTTAATTAAACTGCATAGAAGAAATAAAGCGATCTATTCCCTCAGTAATAATAATTCTAACAGTTTGGGAGAATTCCCTTTCCCCTTTTATTCTTTTTCTATCAATACAGTTTTATTGTTGAGAGGTTACTATACATTCATTAATTTTTCCTTATATTATATTGTGAATATTTTTAATTTTTACTAATCAAACCATAATCATGGTTTTAATGTCTGCATAATAGTCTATCCTCTGAGTGCAATGTATTTCGGGTGTCTCTATCCCTGTTATTCACCACTTAGCCTGACATATAAAAAGCTGCTGGAGAGTTTTCTTCTCAGCTCTGAGTACAGGAGTGCCTTACTGTCAACACCTCACCACTGCTCTCGGAGGCCCTTTGGGGACTACATGAGACAGCCATGTGAGGAAGGTAGCAGCGGTATGTTGACAAGCTTGTCAGTACTTTACTGCTGAAAGGGCTCATGCTCTCAATTCTTTGTGTTTCTCTCAGGTCTTTCCCGTTCCCTTTTCTCCTATTGAATGTTGAGATTAATTATTAGCCGTTCTTTCCCTTGGCCCATGAGTAAGGCCTTATGTAGGTTCAGGAATCTATTGTGGTGCACACGGGGAGAGCATGGTGGTCAGGAATCCCAGGGACAGGCTGGACTCACAAAAGGCTGCGTGCATCAGAGGTGGAGGAGCAAGGCCGAGAGGCTGATTCCATGTCAGCCTTTCCTGATCTCCGTCTTTTGTCCAATGGCCTCCCTGCATTGATAACTGGACCAGGGTCCTTAGAAGAGGAGGTGGTGTGGAATGCACATGTTGCCATGATCTTAGAAATGATCACATAAATAAGGGAGTGTGTATGCCACAGGGGCAAGGTGACATCCATATTCTTTCTGTGGGGCCCTGGATGTACTGGATAAGAAGAATGCATGGATTTAAGGGTAGTCATTTGTTTCACAATTATTTCAGAGATGCATTATGAAAGGACAAAATTTTTATTTTATATTTTAAAAAACAAATTGATAACTTATTGACATTTTATGTGTTCTGTGAAGACGCCAGATCACTCCAATCCTGGTCACATGATTCAGTGCAAAGTAGTAGATTGTGTTGCTTCACCAAGGTCAGTTTTGCCTTCTCCATGGGTGTAGGAACAATGCCCAGCACTTCTTTTATCCTCTTATGATTTAGAGGTCAGGCTCTGGAGCTAGATTACGTGAGTCCAGTCCTACTTTGAGAATTTGTTGACACAGTTTTAAAGGTTTTCGTGTATTATAAAATGTTGAAAATAAAGGACTTCATCATTTACTTTTAACTATTTTCCCCCACACATTTATGCCTCGTAACATGTTTGCTTGAATCATTATACATTTTTAAAAATATTTTAAAATTTAAAATAAAATGTGTTAACTATTTTTATATTAAATTTTATTAATACAGTTTTATATTCTTTTGTAGTTAACTTTATATTTTAAAAATATATCAGGTCCTTAAAAATTATATGTGAATATTATTATAAATGACCTATGGCCAGTGGTTGAGCGTTGACCTATGAACCAGGAGGTCATGTTTGATTCCTGGTCAGGACACATGCCTGGGTTGCGGGCTCAATCCCCAGTAGGGGGCGTGTAGGTGGCAGTAAGTTGGTGATTCTCATCATTGATATTTCTAGCTCTCCCTCTCCCTTCCTCTCTCTGAAATCAATAAACACATACTTTAAAAAAAATGACCTATTGAAATATGCACCCTCCTGACTACTTACTTACCCTTTCTGGCCATGGCTGAATTATTTAATCGCTCTGTGTCTCAGTTTCATCATCTACAACTGCCTAAATGAATATCGTTCATAGACTAAGAACTTTTCATTAACAAACTGAAAGTGAGAATGAACACAAAATATAAACAATGCTGTTTGGCACATAATAAGGCCTTTTTGATGTTTTTAAGTTGTATTTTTCTTTTATTGAGAAAATTAACTTCTTAAATAATATTTTAATTATAAAAATTCTCCTAGTCTCTTTTTTGAAAGAATATAAAATTAAGAAAAGTATAAAGAATTAAACCATCCACTCTAACAGCAAAAAAGCACACTCTCTCTTAATATATAAATATTTCCTTTTATTTTTTCTTCCAACAATTAAACATTTATGTATTTGAGATTTAATGTATTCTCATTAGTACTTTATGTGTTTTTTGATATTTAAATGTATTTAATAAACATTTAAGAATGCTATTTTAATGGCTTCATAATATTCTATCATTTGAGTGCAGCATAAATTTCTTGCTTCATTCTCTTTGTTCACCATTGAAATTGTCACTAATTTTTTTAAGGATAATATTGAAAAGCTGATATAACTTTTATCTCCTGATATATGTCCCTCTGAAGATTCTGGATTGTGAAGGTACACTGCTCTTCTGTACATAAATTATGAAAATACATGCAAAAGATGAGCAAGGATATTTTGAGAGGATCTACGCTGTCATGTATTCCTTTTGGAAAGGGCTCATGTTCTCACATTTGGTGTGCTCCACTTAAGTTCTGGTCTCTATTTTGCGCGAATAAAAATGTGGAGGATTAGGCAGCTTCTGTTTAGGCTCAAGAAGACAATGTTTTTGAGAGTCATGATCATAAGTACTGTTGTCTCCATGTGAATCAAAGAAATAATTGCCCACCAGAAGTGAGAGAAGGGCTGAGGGATCATATGTCTAATCCCACCTTTTTGTCTTTCAGTCCATCTCAAAATTAAAAAAAATAGACTGCGAATCATTGAATTAGGGACTAGAGAGAATAAATATGTTGGTTTTATTTGGGTAAATTTTAATTAAAGTGAACAGTGTGTATATAGGAAACTTGCAAGGAGATACCTATTTTCTTATAAGAAGCCCACTACAGACATCACTTTTAGAAAAATAAAGTAAGGCCTAGCCCGGCCTGTGTGGTTCAGTGGTTGAGCATCCACCCCTAAACCAAGAGGTCCCAGTTAGATGGTCAGGGCATTTGCCAGGGCTATGGGTTCGATCCCCAGTTTGCGGTGTGCAGGAAGCAGGCGGTCAATGATTCTCTCACATCACTGATGCTTCTATCTCTCTCTCCCTCTCTTTCCTCTCTGAAGCCAATAAAAATATTTTTTTTAAAAAAAAAAAAGGAAGAAAGAAAGGCCTAGCCTGGATGGTGTGGCTCAGTGGTTGAGCATTGACCCATGAACCAAGGCTCCATCCCCAATAGGAGGCATGTAGGAAGCAGCTGATCCATGTTTCTATCTCCTATCCTTCTCCCTTCCTCTCTCTCTTAAAAAAAAGTATAATGAAAACATTTTTTATATTGAAAAGTCAGTTGATAATCTATTGGCATTTAATTTATTCTGTAAAGACACCTAATCACTCAAATCCTGGGCACATACTTCAGTGCACAATAATAATTTGTATCAGTGAAGGTTCCCTTATGATTAGTCTGTCTCCCCTAAGGGGATGGGAGTAATATGTTCTTTCTTTTACTGTCCTGTAATTAAGAACAGTTTTGGTGTAATAGTCAAGAGGTGCCAGATTATCTGGGTCCCTAGTCTATTCTGCCAACAAGCTATGTACCACTGCCTGTGCCTTGGACAAGTGACTGAATCACTTAGTACTTCACCTACCTCATGAGTCAAATATGCTTGATCACGGAACAGATTTACAGATCCTGAGAGTTAAAGGAGCGAATATGTTAAAAGAATTGAGAAAATTAATTGGCAATTCACACACATTCTCTCCCTTCCCCCCAACACACACTGTTAGTTCTTCTGATTCTGGCAGGTTCTCTCCCTTCTTTCACAGGCAAAATCAAGGTTTACCTGATTGAGTGGGCTCCTGTAAGGGCCCTGTGAATTGGGAACTCTGCTCTGAGGACATCATGCTGACAGAAACCTTTTCCCCACACCTCCCAGAAAAATGGCATTGCTCCATCCCTAATTTACTGGACATACCCTAGCGTTGACTTAAATAATTGCAATCTTTAAACTTCACAGTGTAGTCTCACAGTCCAGTTCAAAAAGCATGGACTTGTTGTCTTGGGCTGATCATTAAGCCTAAATTACCCAAGCTTAAGTTCTTTAGTTATAAAACGGACCAATAATAGTGATATTGCCAAGGGGCTGTCTTCAGTATCAGCAATAATAATGGCTCCAGCCATCCCTTCCCCTCTCAACCTGAAACTGGGTGGTGAGATGAGGGACAGTGGCACAGCCTGTGTGCTCTCGGTCCCCAGACAAGACTTTAATTAGTTGGGACATAGTGTCAGATGAAGCTTTGGAAGCGCAATTCCTGGAATCAGCTGGAAGCTGGTGCGCAGGCATAAGCCAGCGTGGCTCCCTGGGAGCTGAGGAAGAGCTGCCGACAAGGTGAGGCCGAGGCCAGGAGCCCAGCTGGGGAGGTGGGTGCTGGCTGCAGTTGCCACTGTTGGGAAGGATGTGGGTGGGCACGAATCCAAGGCGGGGATCCTGTGTGGGTTGTCTCCATAGTTCTAGCACTGTGAGTCCTACCCACAGAGGACTGTGTGTACCACCCAGCGCAGTAGTAAGTACCTGTATCTTCTTTTCCTATGAAATATATGCGGAGGGTTGAAGTGAGAAGTTGAGAATTCTTTCTTGCCTCAACTTTGTTTCTCTTTCCATGTACATGGCCTTGAGCTGCTCACTCATCTAGACTGAAATGGTCAAGGAGTGTGACTCACGAGCCCAGAAGGACAAGAAGGTGAAAGCTTCCAGCAGTGGCATCCTGTGGACAGGCGGTGTCCTCCAAGAGAAGGCAGAAAGTGGAGACCTGGGGGCAGGGCGCCTCAAGTCAGTGGCAAGTGGGTGTGGCCTAACTGGGGAGAGAAAAGGAAGTGGTGGGTCAGGCAGGACCTTGGGCCTTTCTTGCTGGCTGCTGGTCTGAGGTTACTCTTTTCTGTGGGCCTCCTGGTCTCCAGAAAAGGCTCCTGGTCTGCACAGAGGTCTTTGGCATGAATGCGAAGGGGCCATGGAGGCACCTTGGAACATGCTGGCAAAGTTTGAAGAAACTTAGAGAAACAAGGTAAAGATAAATATAAAAACACCCATAATTATATCACAAGACCAAATCTGTTAACGTCTAGATTTCTTCTTTGCGTGTATGTGGATAGCAGTATGAGTTTGTGAACTACAAGTATAATGAACATGTGCAGGGTTGTGTGTTCTTCTTCTTTCAGTTCACCTGATGTTCTGAGCTCCTTCCCATGGCATGGGAATGAGAAGGAGGAGGAGGGGGACAGCAATGCTGCAGCCTGGCCCAGTGCTGCTGCCAGTGTTCGGCTCTGGGTATGGGTGCTGCCTCTGCTTGGGCAGCCATAGTCACCCCAGACCTAGGTCTGTGCACCTCCATCACTGCCAGACATTTCCTTCCAGATCCTAAACTCCAGCACCTGTGTGTGTGTGTGTGTGTGTGTGTGTGCACGCGCGCTCTGTAGAGCTGGGAATGCTTCACTACTTTACACTTAGTAATGGGCTCTCCATGGCTCTTTGCCTTCTCTTGTGCCTTATGAATGGGACCCCATGCACTGAGCTCATGGTTTTCCTTACCTTCCTGCTGCTGTTTGGAAGCACTTAATAGGAGCACCAACAGGAGACTGGGAGGTGGAAGGGACTGTGGTTAGGGTTTTCCCCCAGACAGATGGTCTTGGGTTGGCTGTATCCTCCCCCTAGTGGCCAATATAGAGTGCCATCCACCCCATAGCCAGAAGGCTTATGTCCAGGAACCAAGAGGTGGATGTGGGAGTGGGATTCTCTTCTTTACCAACTCACCCACTGGAGGATTTTGTTTCCTCTTTTTCCCCAGGGCCCTGGGTCCACAGGCTTGGAAATTCCATGGAAGGGATACTTTTTTTCAGGTGACACAGTCATGATTTCATTGAAATTCAACTTCCATTGATCAAAATTATATGAAATCAGAGAGCAAAAATGCCCATTAGTGTAGCCAGTAAGGGGTGGCCTCCTGGGCACATAACAGGTGAAGAAACATGGGAAGTGGATCTTGAGGGGAAAACAGAAGACCCTCGGTGGAGTCCACACTTTCTGCCCCTCACCATCCACTCTTGTCCTCTGACTGGGTGAGGAATCCATGACCCCAAAGTAGGGGACGCATGGAGTCCTAGTTGAAAGTCTCCCTTCTCCTCCCTCTCCAGGTGAAGATCACATGAGGCTGATTTTCTGCCAACCTTCCAAGAAAGTTAGAAGATCATGTTCTCAGGCAGTAAAAGTGCCAAAAAAT